TGTGAAGCGGTGGGAATGAGAATCAGCACCTCCAAATCTGAGGCCAGAAAAGGGTGGGGTGCTCACTCCGGATCAGGGACGAGACCCTGCCCCCAAGTGGAGAAGTTTAAGTATCTCGGGGGTTTGTTCACGAGTGATGGGAGAAGGGAGCGGGAGATCGACAGACGGATTGGTGCAGCGGCTGTAGTGATACAGATGCCGTACCGGTCTGTTGTGGTGAAGAGAGAGCTGAGTGTAAAAGTGAAGCTTTCAATTTTCCGGCCGATCTACGCTCCTACCCTCACCTATGGTCACGAGTTGTGGGTAGTGACCAAAAGAATGAGATCGTGAATACAAGCAGTGGAAATGGGCTTCCTCCGAAGTGTGTCTGGCCTCTCCCTTAGAGATAGGGTGAGAGGTTCGGCCATTCGGGAGGGGTCAGAGTAGAGACGCTGCTGCTCCACATCGAAAGGAGCCAGCTGAGGTGGTTCGGGCATCTGACAAGGATGCCCGAACCACCGGAAGAAAATGGATGGATGGATGGATGGATGGATGGATGGAATTTAATTATTAGTTATTATTAATCTCTGACTCTCTTCCACAGCGTGTCTTTTGTCCTGTCTTCCTCCCTTCAACCCCAACCGGTTACAGCAGATGGCTGCCCCTCCTTCAGCCTGTTTCTACTGAAGGTTTCTTCCTATTAAAAGGGAGGTTTTCCTTCCCACTGCTGCTCATAGAGGATCATCTGATTGTTGGTGTTTTCTCTCTGTAGTATTGTGGTCTTTACAATATAAAGTGCTGCTGTTGTGATTTGGTGCCATATAAATAAAATTTAATGGAACTGAAAAGAGGGGAAACTAAGCATCGAAACAAAACCTTTTTTTGTACAAGGCTGTGAACATGCTTTTTAATGCATTTAAGTAGACATTTTAATTAGAAAATCTATAGAGCTTGACTTGCTTTTCAAAATGGCTTCACTATGCCATTACAGAAACTGCAATGAGGCATTGCCTGAGACTTTGCTACTTGGTCAACACTTGCCTCACTTGTATTTATATCCATGGGAAAGCTTTCTTTATTCTGTCCATTTTCAGGGTTTGCAATGGGCATTTGTGTCTCTGCATCTATACTGCTCTCATTTTCATAATCTATTTGCTTTATTTTTGCAGAGAATTATATTTGCTACATCTCTGCACTCTGACTCTCCCAAGCTGAAGACTCAGTAAAATGTTACTGATCAAGTCACAACATAAACAGGGATTTTATTTATGTATTTCTTTTCTCTAAGTTAGCCATAACTCAGATTTTATATATAAATATATATAATTACATCTATCCAGATAGATATAGGTATAGATTTGCATGTGTGTGTGTGTGTGTGTGTGTGTGTGTGTGTGTGTGTGTGTGTGTGTGTGTGTGTGTGTGTGTGTGTTGAGAGGGTGAGACGGTGTCAGAGATCCTGAGTTGGGCATACTGAAAATCCCTCAGGAATACTGTTCATAGTCTTCACAATGTTCATAGTCAAAATAATACATACATGCACTTAAATCTTTTAATAAGTAATTTTAATAATTGGTTCTACAGTATCTTTTAACTTGACAAGACCAATGACTTTAATTTGTCATCAGTGAGCATCTTGGATTTACAGAAGTTGGGAAGTTCTCTTGTAGCAAAACAACAGCAGATTCAAAGGTCATTAGTTTAAACAACTGTTCATAAATATAAGTTATTCTGATGCGTACATTTAAAAGGTCTGAAAGAAGACCCAAACTGTCACCCTCAGATGAGAGTAAATTAGTTAAGACATCTAGGAACCACCCAGGAACCATCAATGCTCGAGCCTGGCATGAATTGGAAACTGTTGGAAGCCCAGTGTCACTGTCCACAGGGAGTTTTACTTTACTAAGACAGTGTACCACTGTACCAGTGGTAGAACAATTTGCTGTTGGCTTTGTTTCCCTTCCACCTGGACTCCTCTGTGCACAATATCTCTCTCTCTCTCTTTACCAGTCATAGTCCCTATGTACAGTCCCTACTCTTACATTGACATTCTTGCTTTTTCTTCTCTCTCGCTGCCTCCTAAACCACCTTCCCCCTTACCTCTTCTTTCACTTTCAGTCAACAGTATCACACTTTCCACCATATCCTGTTGGTCAATAGGGTCCAGTTTGGAAATCTCATTCTTAATTATCCACATGTTTGATTTGGCAAAGATCTTGTTAATGTCAGCTATCAAGTATGGCGGTGGTACTTTAATGCTCCGTGGCTGTCTTGCTGATATGATACTGAGAGATTGTGAATAGAATTTAATGAGGAAAGAAATGTTCAACTTCACCTCAAATCAACAGCTAAATAGTTAAAACCTGGACACATTTGTGTGTTCCACCAGGAAAATGATCCCAAACACAAATAGCTAGTTTTGGAATGGATGAAGCAGTCTAACACTAAACCTCTGGAATGGCCTTCTCGAAGCCCCAACTCAAACCCCATTGAAAATGTGTGCACTGCACTTAAAAGTAGCTAGTGATTGCTTGTGTTGGGACACATGTTAGTCAAAGCAGTTACACTCTTAAGTGGATGAAAAAATGCAGTTTTTGTCACTTCCACATTGTTCATTGAGCCCTGGAGATGGCCAATAACAGCAGGAATCTAAGATAAAAAATTTTTATCTTGTGTGATCTTGGTTCATGGTATTTTAAAATGCATCTTTGCTCTAGTTTTCTATTATTTTGTTATTATATTGACTTGCTTGATTCTACATTGCACACATCACATTTAAAAGCTTCACTACGAGCAAAGCTAAAAGAAAATGACCTACTTTCTGAGACTGATGATGCTTGATGTTAAAAATCTTAAAGGAAATGTCACGCTCATTTGTGACAGCTGAACCTTTGAAGGCCACAGTGGCTTCGTCAGTGCCTCACTGGACACCATGATTGATTTAAGGGTCAGTGAGTCCAATACATTTCATCTGAGCTGATCTCTGAAGAACTGATGTGATCTTAATTGAGTCTGTTACATCTTCCCAGGAAAAGAGAAGGAAGGGACAAATACACAGGCCTCAGAGGTATAAGGAACATCACAGAGATAATTGATGCTCACAGTATTACATTGTTCCCTTCTGGTTCCAAACAACAGCACTGTTGTTTGACTATATCCAATTTGTTAAAATGTTGCAGTAGCATGACAAATGATGTATTTGATACCTGTATGTATGTATGTAACTATTGTGATACACAATATATTATATAATTACAGGTACACAAAGTCATCAGCTTGGTCTAGAACAGATACAGAGATATGATAACAAGGTTCTGCAACTCTGTTCATAGAAAAACCTTTCATGGTTTAAATATGCCAGATCTTTTTAATAAAGTAGTTTTCCTGTACACCCCTGGACCGCTTTCAGCACATCTGCTTTTTTTTAGATCACTTCACAGAATTTCCACATGTACAGTTTCATCACAGGCCTTACACATGAGTAGAGAGCAAAACATCAACCTCTATGTATGTCAGGTCAACCCTGCCTTCATGTCCAGAATGAACACTGGTGAATGCCAAACATGAGAACAGGAGTTTTCAGTGCTAGAGTCCATAGTGTTTAAAACGGAAGACAGTGTTCAAGTTACAGATGCAGTTAGTGTCCTTTTTTTTAAATTTTTGCATTATACCAGCTCAGGGTGCCAGTGCTGACTTTTCACTGTCTCTGTGTGAGGAAGAACTTTGCAGCAAACAAATCATGGTGTGACATAGGCTATGATGCCATAGTGCCTTTATAAACCAGCAAGTTGTCAGGGGTACAGGAGAAGGTCCCACCATGTAAATTTCTGTTGCACTGATGTGACACAATTTGGGGGAGCAGCGGGGCACATAGTTGGATTAAATTTGGATACTAAGTGAAGAAATAGTTGGTAACTTTAGTAATGTTCAATGAATCTACTTCAGTTCCTCTAGTGAATGATTATGTTTTTTAGTTTGTATTATAGCGCATCCTCCACTCACTCTGAAAATAGTGCATTATTTCTGGGAATGTATTTCTCTCTTCCTGAATGGGAATGACAGTATCTGCGTCACTGGAGTGTTATCATTCTTGAACTTCTCTACATTTGCTACTGGTCATAGGCAGTATATTGTTATAGACTTACATGCTATCTGTCCTAAATAAACTTTAATACGATTTAGAAAGGCTTTAATGACACCCTAACTTTCCCTGTGCCACCATGTTTTAATTTTGTGTGAAATGTTTCCTACTTTTTTGAATAGACTGCAATCAAATTTAGCCCAGATTTGCATTTTGCTATCACAATGACTTGTAATCAACCCTATATCAATCGGAAGTATTGTTAAATGCTTTCATTTAGGGTATAAGCAGATCAAGTATATTTTCATTTGCCCTAACTCTCCTGTCTTTAATCAGTAAATATTAATATGCTAACAAGCTAAATATAGATGGTGAACATAATTCCTGTCTCCCACTTCCATCTCATGAATTAATATGACTTAAACTAATTTGAAAACAAATCCTTCATCCTCAAAACAAAGATAGACCATGTTTATTGTTTCTGGTTGCTATCTACCGTGAATGGTAATACCGGTACAATGGTAGTTAATCATCCACTTGCCCAGGGGCTATACAAGCCCCTTTTCTTCTTTCTGAAATAAGAAATACATGAAGGAATAGTTCTCACATCTTACTAACATCAGCAGTTATCACTGGATTTGTTGAATACTGAGTTAAACCTAGTAGTGAACAAAGATCTGAAACGCCAGATTGAGGAAGAATAAGGAAACTGATATGAACTTACTTCTAGTTGTGGCTTCTGTAGAGAATCGCTCCATCCGGAGTCTGGAGGAAGAACGGACAAGTGCTCTGACACCAGCCGTAGGGCTACTGTTTATTTCAGATCCGAGAGAGGTGAAGAAGTGTCCTGCTGGCACCGTGCAGTCGTCCTTGCCGTACATAACGCAGGAGCAGGACGGGCTTTTAGTGTGTAACTGTCACCATCTGCGCACGTGAGAGCCACAGGGACGTGGATTGCTGACTGCGGACACTCTCTGTTTACTTGACGATGACTCTGCAGGCTGGTGCGCTCTGCTACTGCACTCTTTTTGTTTTACTTTAGCAAATAAACCAAAGATCGGATGCACTAAATTCCTTCTTTCGTGCGTAATAGCCGCGCGGTAAGGCTACGGTGACGCGTTTTGCCTTTCATCATTGAGAGCGGGGCAAGTTTTCAAAGGCACCGATGAGCTACTGTCGGAGTGAGACTTTGGCATCTGAGGGTACCTGTTGGAATTAAAAAATATATATACAAACGTTACTTTAAAGGGAAACTGGATCGGTCCGTGTTCAGTGGATTTTTTGCGCCTTGGTGACCCTCTTGTGGTGTGGTATGACGGTGGAAACGATGTTTTCATGCAATACGAGTGCCATAAAGGACTGGAGCTACTTTCTGTCTCAGATATTGCCTTTGATGAATAAAACTACAGCCTCCGCTTTGTCGATGGTCAACATCGACAAGGCGGAGGCTGTGACGACCACTGTGGTGACATCCTTGCAGCCGGACGGCGCCATGAGCGCGAGTAATCCCCCTATCGACTCCAACCATACCTCGGGCATGGAGCACGTCTTTCAGTACTCGTACTCGGAGAGTGACCTGCTGTACACGGACTATCGGACACCGGAGAGAGATCCCATGCCTCTTCCCAAAGCGGTGCTCTATCTGGTCATGGCAGCTCTGGTAGTAGTGGCAGTGGCGTATGCGATAGTTGGACACCTGGTCAAAGATGTGGTGAATGACTTCGTCGGTATGTGGCACCTACTGTGCTTATATGTGTGTGTTGAGTGTACATTCAGTGCCAATGGGTTTACTATAAAGAGCGTAAAGCATGGAAAGGTGGTAAAAACGTTCATGTGTAATATCATTACATGAATTTGTAAAAATAAATAAATAAATAAGTGAGACTAAATTATCTCTAAATGTCAGTAAGACTACTAGAAGCCTTAAAGGACTGTCCCTTGAGCCCCCTTTGAGAGTCACTTTTCCTTATTCTAGAAGAACTGCTGCTTGAAAGTGACACAGCAGCGCAGAAGAATCAAAATATCTTAAGGAATGCATGAAGGAAGTGACTTGGGGACTACCTGAAATAGCAAAAGCAACATTGTTTATTAAAGGAATATCTACAGGAGCTTTAGTGAGAGCACCCCCCAACACACACACACACACACACACACACACACACACACACACACACACACACACACACACACACACACACACACACACACACACCCACCCAAACCCCCCCAAAACAAAAAATCCTAAATGATTGTAATGCAGATGCACAGTAGCTCTGCTCTCCTAGCCATTGACCTTGTGGAGGACAAACCACTGTCTGACAACTCAAAGCTGCTGTTTTTTTTTTTGTTTGTTTTTTTTGTTTTTTTTGAGGAGCTTCCTGTGACTGATACATAATATATGAAAGAATGAAACAATGAGTCTATTTTTAGGGCACAGACACTCAGTGCTGTCTTGATCTGATAGTCAGCTTCTTCCATTAAATTGTTTAAAGCAAAATGCACTTAGTAACTAAGTGATCAGGACAGAGGAGGATATTAATCAAGCAGCAATAGGGGGCCCTAAGGGGAGTATAAAACACACATACACACACACACGCACACACAAGTGTGTGTGTGTGTG